CCAGCCTCATCTCAATTAAGAAGCCCAGCCATCAGACTAGGCGGCAGCCTTAGTAGCTCCTGTCACTTCCCCTGAAGAAGGCATTGAGTGGCAGGGATACCCAGGAGAAAGCAGCTCTGCACATTGGAAGTGGGGGGTGGGCCTTCAAGTCGGCCCCAGATTTGAATTGCACATCCACCACCTATCAGCTTGTGATTTAGGGCCACCTTGTCAAACTCTCTGAGCCCTGTGTACTACCCAGTAGAATGGTGATAGTAATAATAACCACCTCACGTGGCTTTTGTAAGAACTGAAGGAAGTAACGACTGCCACTTAGCGCGGTGCCCTGCGTGTAGTTGGCATTTAAGCATAGGTTAGTTCTCCCTCTACTCTTCCTCCCCCACGCTCTGTAGCAGTCACTCATTTTACCCTCTGCACCCACAGACCCATTGCCAGGCTTGGGGTCACTAGGCAAGTGTTTCTGGGCAATCTGAAAGCAGGTGTCTGCTCAGCTAGGAGGCCTGCACGGGCTGTAGGCAGCCCAATGGGTAAGAGTGAGCAATACGCCAGAGAAGGAAGGGAGTTTTCTCACTGTGGGGAGGAGAGCTTGTGGTTACAAGCATCAGAGCGTGATTCAGCACCCAGAGGAAACCATGAGAGTCTTGCCACTCGTCAGTCACCCAGGGCCTCCTTTTGTAAACAATTCCAAGGTGAGGGAACAGCTTGGGAGACCCTAAACAAGATAAGGAAGGTGGGGGGGGGGCCTCCAGGGTGAGGGAAGGGACAACCAGATCCCACTCACCCAAGGCCAGTCAGCCAGCACTCAGGCTCTGCTTCCAGCCCCGGTCAGACACACCTGTTCCCTGAGAGGGGGGGAGGACTGATGGGAAACAGGAACAGGGAGTCCATGAGGCTGATCCCTAGACCTGCCTGGGGCACGTCCACGTGGGTCAACGGAAATTAGAGCACGCAGGGAAATGCGAGCCTACTGGGGAGCTGGAAATGGGGAGGGGAAAGAATACAGCCCCTGCCCTACACCAGTCTCCCTCTCTCAGGCTGGGCCAAGTCAAAAGTCTCCTAACTTTTCTGGGCCTCCAGACTCCAAGTCCAAGAAGCAGAATCTTAACACTTGACCAGGAAAGAGAGTGTTGGAGTGGAGGGAGTGTCCCACATGTTGAATACCTACTGTGTACTTTCATCCAATCCTCGCAAGAATGCTGTGACACAGGGAGTCCCCCACTCTGAACAGATGACAGACTGAGGCTTCAAGAGGTTAAATGACTACAGAGGCGATAGAGCCTAATGATTAAGCTCTTTTTTTGGCATAAGGAGCTTTGACATTTGACTGCCTGGATTTGAATCCAGGCTTTTCTATTGTTAGCTGTGTCACCCTTGGCAGGTTACCTACTCTCTCTGTGCCTCCATGTTCTCATCCTTAAATCAAGGATAAAAATACATATCTCACAAAGTTGTTGGAAATCAAGTGCATTAATATATGTAAAGTGCTTAGGCAGGGACTGGTGCAAAGTAAGAACTCAGGAAATATTGGCTCTTATTCAGGCAGCTCATCGGAGATTCAAGCCGTGAGTAAAACCAGAGACCCCAAATCACTTTGCTGTACAGCAGAATTAACACAACATTGTAAATCAACTGTACTTCAGTTAAAAAAAAAAGAGACCCCACCCACCCACCCACCCAACCCTACCTTTGATCCAGCACCTTCCTTACTCACTCATAACTCCTCCCTTTCTGAAGGATGCTCACCTTTGCCCTCCCCTCACCCCAGAGCAAACCCCTTCTTGCCATCTCCTCCAGCCAGGCAGTCTTCCCTGCACTCCCCTGGGCTAGGAGTCTCCTACGCCTGCAAGGCAAATTCCAGAGCAAGGCCCACCCGTGGGCTGGCTGCGCCCTCCCTGGGCTCCAGATAGCATGTGCCTGTGGTCCAGTCTGGGGTGTGGAGTCCAAATGGAAGCAGTGTCCATCATTCATTCATTCATCAGATATTTATTACGTGCCAGACATTGGAGTAGGTACTGAGAATGCAGTGGTGAACCAGAAGTACGCAGTCCCTGCCCTCATGGCACTTACCGTTTAGGCATCAGGAACAACAATAATAAGGAATTCGTTAATTTTGAAAGGAAACCTGACCTCAAGTGTGACTTGGGACCCAGAAAGGTAGGCGTGTGATTCAGAAGTGGGAGAGGAGGGTACTCAGCAGCCCCAACCTGGGAGGGAATGAGTCTCTGCTCTGAGAGCTTGGCTGGACCCAGCCTGTGGGATGGGAGAGCCTCTGTGGGCACCTGAATCTCTACTCTAGACTCTGAGGAGGTTATTTCCAGGGTTGGTTTGCTGTCTCTTGTTTTGCTAACAGCACAGCAGAGCCTCCTCCTCCCTCCCCCCTTCCAGATCGAGGCTATTTATTCCTAGTGACAAGCCTGAGGATCCCAGGGGCGGTGGCCTCAAGGACCTGGAGGGGCCTTGTGTCCCTGGCAGATGCCAATCCTCCCGCCCGGGGCAGGGCACAGGGAGGAAGCCAGAAGGTTGGAAACTGTAGAGGTCGGGGAGGACTTCCCTCCACCGTCCCTGCAGTGCCCCATCCTTGCACACTCCTCACACCCCTTCCTGAGAAGCTCAAAAATCATGGGGCCAAGGATTAGGGTCTCCCCTAGGCCTCAAAGGTCAAAACTGTTCCTGGGCACTGTGGAGACCAAGGGAGGATTTCTCTGTCCCACGATGCAGCTGGAGGTGAGGAGGTGGTTACTTCTGTTTTCACCACTCAGGGTTGTGGAATGAAGCCCTTTGAAGGTCAAGGCCCTATAGAAGGGGTCCTTAGACTTCACTCCTTGTTTTCAGAGCACACCTTCGCTCCCACTGACAGGGCCGCAACAGCAGGGTCAAAACCACCCCCACCAACAGGCTGGAATAAGTCCTCTTTTACAAATTAGGGCTGAGTGTGATCCCTGGGGGTAAACTGCGAGGGGGAGCGGACACGAAAAGGGCATGAGGACCCTCTGGGTCCCCAAATGGACCTTGGTCGGCTGCCTCCTGTATCCCTTGCCTGAGACCGAATACAGCTAGCCGCTGGGGACTGGGGTGGGGGGAGGTAAGGAGAGTGGGGAAAGAGAAGGAGGACAGCAAAAGCTGCAGGGAGGGGACAGGGGCGGGGTCCTGGCCGCCCACGAAGGTTGGTAGAGCCAGGTTAGGCCCGGCGGGCCCAGGGGGCTGGGGCAGGCTCCAGCCTAAAAAGGAGGTGGGGGCGGGGTCTGGCCCCCAGCCTCCAGGACGAGGGCCGGGGGCGGGATCCGCACCCCGCGGGCAGGGGAGGCCGGGGGCGGGGTCCGGGCGGGGCGGGCCCCCGCGCTCACTTCCTCGGGGAGGGCTTGGGGCCGCGCTCCCGCTCGCCCACACAGTCCGTGCGCCGCCGGCATTCTCGCCGGCAGCTAGCTCGGTCCTGCTCGGCCCGGCCCACAGGTAGGAGGCGCCGAGGGACGCGGCCCCGGCTGCCCGCCACCCCCCACCCCACCCCCGCCCCGCGCGAGCGCCGCGCCCCGCTCTCGCCGCCCGCCTCGAGGTGAGCTCCCCGCCGAGCCCGGCTCCCCATCCCGGCTCCCGGCCCCCGCCCTCTGGCGGGAAAGGAGAAGCGGCCAGCCGGGGGTTAAGGGCAGCCGCGGCCCCCGCCCCCTGTCCCCGCCTGGGTCCGGTCGCGGGCGTAGGGAACATGCTAGGAGCCGGTGGCGCGCGGGCGCCGAGCCCCGGGGGGCGCCCCCGGAACCGTACCGCTCCGGGCGCTGCAACGCCAGTTAGGTGGGGCAGGGGGCCAAGTTTGAAATGGAAAAGCGAGAGTCGAGAGAGACCTTTAGGGTTCGAGAAACCGGCTTCCAGAACGCCCGGTGGAGCAAGAGACCGAGACAAGACAGGAGCGGCGAGCTTAGACAAGGAGGCTGCGGAGATACCCGAAACAGAGACAGAGACTTGGGCGTAGAGTCACCGGGAGGCAAACCCGAGGCATAGGGTCCGACCCAGGTTTTGTGGAGCGGAGCATTTTAGGAAGAAGCATGCAGTGACCCCAGACGTGCTGTCAGCCCTCTCCAGGGCCTTGGAGGGTTCTGGGCAAATGAGGGGCCCCGAAGCTTAAGCTTCATTAACCTTGTGGTAAACCAGCCTCTGAGAGGCCTAGAAAGACATCCAGAGACTGGAGACGGACACACTCAGGCATACAGAGATGCTAAGAGATAGAGAAGGGCGGTGGGTAGGGACCAAGACATTCCACCCTTTAGAGACCCTTGAGATGCCAAGACTTGGGCATACAGTGGTAGAAATCCACAGAGGCTGCCGTGGGGAGATAGCCAGTCAGAGACACAGAGACACGGAAACATACAGACAGCTGCTGAAGTTTACAGACACAGACGTGCTGAGTGGAGCAGAGCCAGACGCCAAGAGACAGATGTCATGGAGGGGCAGTGACAGTTTTCAAGACCCTGCGGGACTCAGGCCTGAAAGATTGGGAAGGGAGGATGTGGGGAAACAGAAACACTGAGCCAACTGAGCCTCCGTGAGGCAGAGGACCTGAGACATGAGACAGTAAGACTCGAAGGAGCCCTATGCACTCTCCGAGACAGCCCCAGCTTATTTTTAAACTCAAATCTTGGACGCGCTGCTTCAGCCCTGGGGGACCCGGGGTGAATGAACTGTTCCTCTTCTGTCCCCAGAGCAGCTGCTGGATCCTGCTTCCCACCCCCTTCTCCCAAACCGCTCTGACTCCCAGGCCCCATGGCGGGGGCGGGGAAGAGAGTGGAGAGTTTGGGGTGGATGCCTAGTAGCAGGGGTGAGGGTGGGGGGAGTTTGATTTCTCCCCTCAAGTCCCCTGTCAACTCCTGGAAGCTGGGGGAGGGGTCTGTTCTGATCCTGAGTCACAGCTGTGGGACCTGGCCAGGGTCCTCCTGGACAGTGGGGGGTGGAGGGGGGCGAAGGGTTGAGCGGTTGGCATGGGTACTTGGAAAGACTTCTGGGTGTCTTCCAGTCACAGGGCTGGCAGCTGGGGAGAAGAGCCAGGCTCTTGTACTAGTGATATCATCCAGCATCTCCTGTCCCGCTGCTCTTAAACGCTGACCACCCCGTCCACCACCATTTCTAGGGAAACAGGAAAGGGCTCCAGGCTGGGAGGCAAGGGACCTGAGCTCTCTGATACCTGAGTGACTTTGGGCATGCCCCTGCCCTGTCCCTGGCCTCTGTGCTCAGCTGTAAAATGAGGATGATACCCTATCCCGCCTGCCCTTTGTGCAATCTGATAGATGGTGGGTGGGTGGGAAAGCGCTTTGTGAGAGGCAAAGCAGCATGCAGGTGTGTACACCTGTGTACCTGTGTTGGGGGTTTCAGAGTTATGCTCACTGGAGTCAGACTGGCCCCACTGGTCTCAGTGAGCCCCACGGCCTGGGCCTCTTCAGCTCCCCCAGCAGAACTAGGGAGTTCCCTTTTTGTTCTCTCCCTGGGCCCCCGCTGAGAATGTCAAGGTCAAGTCCCAGGCCAGCCCCCTGACCCAGGCCTGGCTGAGAAACTGTTGACTGACCCCCGTATGAGTGAGGGGCTGATAATAAAACACTAAGAGCTACCATTTACTGACTACTTAGTATCTCCCAGGTGCTTTCCAAGTATCATCACATTTAAGCCTGGCAACAACCCTAGGAGGTAGGAGGTAGTATTAGATGGGGAAGCAGGCTCAGGGAGCTTAAGTGACTTGCCCAAGATCACCCAGGTTTATATTTCACAGCTCAAGCCTCTACACAGCACATGCCACGGCCATTATCCAGCCATTTTGAGCTGCAGGAGGTTCACGGGGAGGGGTCAGATGTGTGTGTGGGTCAGGTGTAGGCGGGTGTGTGTGTTGGGGGCAGCGGCTGAGAGCCATCTGGCAGACTGAGCGCTCTCCCCACGACCCCCCTACCGGCCGTGAAGGAATACAGGACTGGCTCCCTTTAGTCCCTCAGTCCTGCCAGGGAAAGGGGGAGGGGGGAGGGGCAGACAAAGGGCAGAGACAGGTGGGCCTTGATAGCGCCCTTCACTCTGTCCTCACCAGAGCCCAGCTGGACAGACTAGGGGATTCTGGGAAAGAAACAGAAGCCACACCCATACCCTATTTGGGGTGCCCCTGTCTCAGAGTGGTGACTGCCTCCCAGTAGGCAGGCCTAGGGCTAGTCTGGACCTGGGAAGATGACAGAGCTGTTGGGGGCCAAGCCAGGAAGGAAGGAAGGGCCCAGGTCACTCGTGGATGGATGCATGGCCACACTCCACCTGTGTGGCCCCCGCTGCCCCGTGGCTCACGGCCCAGGCAACCCTCAGATGTTGGGCCAGAGGAAACCCAGGCCTGAATGGCGAGGAGCGGACTGAGGTGGAGGGATACCCTCCACCCTCCAGCATAGCCCCCAGCCCAGAAGTCCCGGCTCTGAAGACCCCGGCTCCTGGCGGCCTCATGCCCTGGCCTGGGGCATGAACTGAGTGTCTTCCCATCGTACAGAAGGGCAGCTGTGGGTTCATGAGCCACCCCTTCAGAAGAGCCAGGCCCCCTAGGCTTGGGGCGTCTGCTGGCGCCTGGAGTCTGAACTCCAAACCAGAGCCACGCTTGTTGGCTAGAATTTCCTGCGGGGGGGTGGCTGAGAAAAGGAGGGCTTCGCCTTCAGCTTGAGCCAGGCCAGGCTCTGGGGACTGCCAGTTACTGGGGTCTAATGTGGAGGAGTGTGTTGGTGGGTTCCTTTGTACTCCTGGGGCCCATCTGCAGCTGTGAGAACATCCCCTTCCTAGGGTCCAAGTGGTTCCTCTCCACCCACCCCGGGATCCCAGTCCTCAGAGAGCAGGCTTCATGATGGAGGAGACTGGGAGTGGGGAGCTCTGAATTTGGGGCTAGAGACTGGAATCGGGCAGCAGAAGGGACTGGGAACCCCACTTCCTCACCCTCCCTACTCCCCAAGCTCCTGCTGCAGAGGCAGCTGTGTGGATGACCTCATCCCACAAACATGCTTTGTTCCTGAGAAAATGGAAAGTGTCTGAGGTTTGGTGGGGGGCTGGGTGTCTGCAGCAACAGCACTCAGGGCTCCCCCTTTCCTGACTGCCCACCGTAGGGAGGCCTGATTGGAGAGGAAATGTCTTCAGTGGCTCCCACTCTCTCACCCTTCACTCCCCGGCCCCAAACCCTTCAAAAAGCTGGGGAGAGGCTGTCTCTCCCAGAGGCAGGGAGAGGGAAATAATGACCCAGGGGATGGAAAGATTCTGGGGCTTTGCCAGTCGCTGCCAGGAGTGATGACCGGCAGGAGACAGCAGGAGGCACACTGCATAACCTCCAGTTCCCCTCTCCGTCCCCAAGCATCTCATTTCCCTTTTTTCCTCCCCTGTTGGCTGGCAAAACCCGACATCTGGCCATCTGTGCCGCCACAGCTGCTGCAGGTGTTGCAGGCCAAGGCTGCGCAGGCTGGTGTGACCAGAGACCCAGCGGGAGGTGGAGGGGGTGAGGGCAGAGGGTCCAGCTGGGGAAGCTTGGCTGTGTCCAGCTTGCAGGATTTCCTTCCTGCTTAAACCTAGGCTGAGCCTCTGAAGTCCTTGTTGCTGGATTCTCCTGGGAGGGGAGGCCCAATGTGATTTCTCCCATCAGCCTCCTCCACCTCCACCATTCACTGGCCCAGCATCCTTCTTACATTCCGCTGTTTCCTGGCTGGGGTTTGGGGGGTGGGGTACAAACAGCCCCATTCTCATCCCTAAGCTCCCCACTCCAGAGCTCTGGGTATACCCCTAGGGTCCCTTCCTGGGAGTCAGGAGAGGGTGAGAGTGCTGTTCGTATGGGACAGGGTGGGGTGGCTCCATGTCCTTGCTCTTACCCCCTTGGGGACAGTAGGGACAGTGGAGGCTAAACTCAGGCTAAATGCAGGGGCAGGAAATGAGTCATTGACCCAGGAAAAGCCCCCTCCCCCCAGTTCTGCCAGGGCCAAGATAAGAAAAGAACTTCTGCTTCCTGGTTTTTTCCTGACCCCCTCTCATCCCCAACGTTAAATACAGAAATAAACATGCAGGACTCTTTGTGTTCTCAGAAACACCCATTCCCCATCACCACCTGCTCTGACCTGGCATTTCCTATGCCTAGTTCTTGCTCTCTTTTAAATGCAGTGGGCTGAGCCACAGCCCCTCTGGGTGACCCCTGCCCCGCCTTGTGTCCCTAACAGGGTTGACTCACAGCCACCATGAGCGAGGCCTTTGACTGTGCGAAATGCAGCGAGTCCCTGTACGGGCGCAAATACATCCAGACAGACAACGGACCCTACTGTGTGCCCTGCTATGACAACACCTTCGCCAACACGTGCGCCGAGTGCCAGCAGCTTATCGGGCACGACTCGAGGGTAAGGACTGGACCACACAGGGCAGGGAGTGGGTGGAGGCTGGCAGGAAGGGGCGAAGGTGCCAGTGCCCCTGCTGTGCTCCACACAGGAGCTGTTCTACGAAGACCGCCACTTCCACGAGGGTTGCTTCCGCTGCTGCCGCTGCCAGCGCTCCCTGGCCGACGAGCCCTTCACCTGCCAGGACAGCGAGCTGCTCTGTAACGACTGCTACTGCAGTGCCTTCTCCTCACAGTGCTCCGCCTGCGGGGAGACCGTCATGCCCGGTACGTTCCCAGGGGCTCGTTGTGCGTGGGACTGGCATGCCTGGCATCTGTGTAGGGTTCTTGTAAGGGACTGGCATGCCTGTCTGATACAACATGGAGGCTTGGTAAAGACCAGCACACGCAGCACGTTCCTGGAAATTTACTGTGTGCAGTATCTGTCGTGCTTATCTGCTCTTGGGAGCTTAGCACGCACGGGGACTGACAACGCATGATACACACCTGGGGGCTTAGCGTGTTTGGCACCCATAGGAGCTACGAGTGTGCTGAGACTGTCAGTGTTCGTTGCATTGGGGCTTGGTGTGTGCAAAGACATATAAATAAAGGGCTTAACGCGTATGGCAACCTGCATGGTTGATAGAATGTGAGGATTTAGAACACGTGGAGATTGGCATGACTAGGATATGCCGGGGCTTATTATGTTCTGAATCCATCACGTCCGGGGCAGAACTCTGTGGGCAGGGACTTGCTTGCCTCGTATATGGGGTCTTTGTGTGTGCACTCACACTGTCACACCTGGTGTATAAGCGCTTAGCACACACTGAGTCACCGTGCCTGTGACCTGGAGGCCTGGCGTATGCTGAGATCGTCATATTCTGGTACCTGTGGGGACTTCACCTATGCCAAACCCTCAGGTCTGGTTCATGGGGGCCTAGCACGTGCTTAGCCAGCATATCCAGTGTCGGGGGGAGGTGGTTAGCATGTGCAGTAGATGCGGTGGGGATCCTGCTGCAAATGCATGGACACCGCCCTGTAGGCTGTGGGAGCAGCGGGGACCCTCCTCGGGGGGTGGCAGAGGGTGGCACTCAGGAGCTCGGGACTCAGCCTCTGAGTGGGACCCGTGTTCCCCACAGGATCCCGGAAGCTGGAGTACGGAGGCCAGACGTGGCATGAGCACTGCTTCCTGTGCAGCAGCTGTGAGCAGCCGCTGGGCTCCCGTTCCTTTGTGCCCGACAAGGGTGCTCACTACTGCGTGCCCTGCTATGAGAACAAGTTTGCTCCTCGCTGCGCCCGCTGCAGCAAGGTGGGGGCTGGGCCGGCGGGGCGGGGGTGCCGAGCTCCACTGCACACAGGGGTGGGGTGAGCAAGGCTCTGTCGTGGGGTAGGAATCCCCACTCCCCCTGCTGACAGACGCCGCCCCACAGACACTGACACAGGGTGGCGTGACATACCGTGACCAGCCCTGGCATCGGGAATGCCTGGTCTGCACCGGCTGCCAGACGCCCCTGGCAGGGCAGCAGTTCACCTCCCGAGATGACGATCCCTACTGTGTGGCCTGTTTTGGAGAACTCTTTGCACCCAAGTGCAGCAGCTGCAAGCGCCCCATCACAGGTGGGACAAGGGGTCAAAGGACAGAGTGGGCAGAGTGTAGGCAAGGGAATGGGACCTGGTACTGGGTGAGGCCGAGGGACAGGACCGCCCACCCTCCAGATCGCAGAGCTAACCTCCAGCCTCCCTCCAGGACTCGGTGAAGGCAAGTATGTGTCCTTTGAAGACCGCCACTGGCACCACAGCTGCTTCTCCTGCGCCCGATGCTCCACCTCCCTGGTGGGCCAGGGCTTCGTGCCGGACGGAGACCAAGTGCTGTGCCAGGGCTGCAGCCAGGCGGGGCCCTGAGCCAGGGCTCCTGGGCCCAGGCCCTCCCAAACCAGGGCTCCAGGACTAAGGCTCCTTTTCCAAACCACCTCTGGGACCCAGCCCCTCCCCAAATTGGGGCTACCTCTGGGCTCCAGGATTCAGCCTCCCCACTCCAACATCCCCAATCTGGTACTTCTTGACCCAGGGCCCCCAAACTTGGGCTCTTATGGAGCCTCCATCATTCAAATCCCCTCCCCAAGCCTGAACGCCAGAACTCAGTCCTCTCCCCTATGGTCCAGCTTCCCAGATGAAGCCCTCTCCCTAATTCAGAGCTCTGGGACCCCAGCCCCCTTCAATCTAGACTTCTCCCCTGAAGACTTTAGGTCTCCTATGGGTGCCTGAGAAGTCCTCAGAAGTGGACTGTACTCAGGCTTGACACTCCCCACCCCCATCCCACCGCTATTCCCAGGGATGGGGCTGCCTGGGCAGCACATCAGGGGTTCACTGGTTAGGGGGTCCTAGGGTACAGGGTTTTGCCCAGCCCTTGCTGTCGAGTGTTTTCTCGTTTCATTTCATTTCAGCTCCATTCTGCCCAGAGATGGGCAGAGGGGTGGGTTTGGCTCACCCCCCTTTCAGATTCTGCAATAAAGCAGTATGAGGAAGCGAAGGCCTCTGTGTGTTTGTCTGGGGGTGGAGGGGCAGGGAGGATTCCTCCGCACACCACGGGACTCGGAGGCTCTTCCCGACCTCGACCTCCTCCATGCAGGGCAGAGGAGGAAGCTGCCAGGCGGGGTGGGAAATCTCTCCCGAGAAAGGGGATCCCCGCGGCCGCTACTGTCCCTCTCAGGCTTAGCTGGCTTCCCCCCTGCTGGCAAAGGGCTTTTTCCTCCGAGTGGGGAAGGGAGGGGTTTGGGGGAGGTTCCGGACAGGAGCAGGGCGGGCCGACGGCGTTGGGTTCTCCGTCGGGTACAAATCGCCCCCCTCCCTTACCATCCCTCCCCAAACCCCGCCGAGCACCGGGTGCGGATCCCCAATCTGGGCCCAGACCCTCAGCCCCCTTCCCCCTCTTCCCGAGGATTAGCGGAGGCGGCCCGGGATCCGCTTGCGGCCGCACGTTTTTTGCCAAAAAAGGCAAGGATGCAGCTGCACGCGCCACGGGAACATCTGGATCCGATTCCCGGCATGAATGGGTCATGGCCCCGCCTCCCCGTGATTCAAGGGCGGGGGCGGGAATGAGCGAGGGGGGCTATCCCCCAAAATGGGGAGATGGGGCGGAGCGCTGCTCCCCTCTCTCGGCGTCCGACGCCCCTGCCCCTGCTCTCTCGGCGGCCTGCGGTCTGGGCTCCGCGGTCCAGACCGTCGGAGCCCGACTCGTGCGCACTGGCTGCGGCGCAGGCTGAGGCGCTCACGTACCGCCAGCGGCCTTCCCGGGTGGGGGCCCGCGCGCGGGGCGGGCGGACTCTCGGCGCCCTGTGGGGGAGGGGCCCTCCGGTCCGGCAGAACCGCGTGATTATATGTATCTCAAAAGAAATCCTCCCAGAAATCCTATGGGGCGGGCGTTTTTCCATTTCACGGAGGTGGAGACTCCATTCGTTAGTTCCCCAAAGTCACATAGGTAGATCCACACTGCCTCCCCGGCCCAATTCGAATCCTAAACTTTCTGAAGCCGTGGTTGACATTTTCTACAAACCTTTACGAATGCCCACCATGTGTGCTTATAATTAATGATTGTATGTCGACATTTTTTGTCTCTTTCTTCCACCAGCCTCTGAGGATTGGGCTCACGCCTGCCTTGCTCACCCCTCCACTCTCAGCTTCAGGCACTTACTACATGTTCAATAAATACCTGCTGAGGAAGAGTAGTCCAAGCATAGAAAACAGCTAGTGCAAAGGCCTGGAGGCCTGAAAAAACATATGGTGTGCTTTGGGGAAGCAGCAAGTAATTTCATTCGGAGGAAGTGCCAAGAGACTAAAACGTCAGGCAGCGGCCAGGTCATGAAACGCCGAATGCCAAGTCAAACAGACCTCACCCTGCGGGTAAAGCAGCCAGTGGAAATGTTTAGGCAAGGGTGTGAGATGATCACTCCGCTGCAGCGTGAATAATGGATTGGAGGGGTAAGATGAGCAGACTGACTAGGAGGCTAGTGCAGTGGTTCAGGTGAGATAATGAGACAGGTGGCAGCAGGAATGGAAAAGACAGGACTTGGTGACTGGTTTGAAAGAATGGGGAAGGAGAAGGTTTTCGGGGAAGGAAGGCATCAGGTGAATGGTGCTTAGGTGGTCCACCCACCAAAGAGGAAAGGTGGGTATTTATTTTTATATACACTGCTGTGCCTCTAGCTTTTTTCACTCTGTGTGGCCATATTTCCATCTGAGTTCATACAGATTTTTAAAACAGTTTTGCAGAGGTATGAGTTACATACCATAAAATTCACCCAATTTGAGTGTACGGTTCAATTAATTTCAGCAAATTTAATAGATTTGTGCCACTATCACCACAATCCAATTTTAGAACATATCTATCACCTCCAAAAGATTTCTTGCGTCTTTTGCAGTTACTTCCGGTCTCACCTTCAGCAGCAGGCAACCGCTCATCTACTTTCTGTCTCTATAGATTTGCCATCCCGACATACACTAATGTCGTTCTTTGTGTCTGGCTTCTTTCACTTAGCATGATGTTTTCATGGTTCATGCATACTGTAACATTCCTTTATTGCTGAATAACATTCCATCGTATGGATACACCACATTTGGTTTGTACATTTACCAGTTAATGGCTTTTGGGGGTTACGCCCTGTTTTTCTTGATAACGAATAATGGTGCTATGAACGTCTGAACAAACGGACATACGTTTTCATTTCTCCACCTAGAAGTGGACATATAGACTTGCTTCATTTTTTTTTATAGCTGTATAGCATTTTACTGCTTGAATGTACCATATTTTATTTAACCAGTCCCCTGCTGATAGACAATTAGGTTGTTTCTATGTATCAAAAAAGAAAAAGAGAGAGGGAAGGAGGGAAGGAGGGAAGAAGAAAAGAAACCCGCTATCATCCCCATTTTACTGACAAGGACACCGATGTCTCGAGAAGGATAAAACGTTGTCACAGGTCACACTGAGAGCCGGAGACACAAGTTCCGGTTCCCCAGCTCTCATCCATGCTCTTCAACTACTCAGTCCAGGTCGCTACCCGCCCGGCCACGCGGCCGAGGAAGCCAGGTCAGATTCCTTACTGCCAGGCTGGTGGATTTCTGTATGCCCCCTAGAGGCACCTGTAAATCGTTCGGCATCGCGCCACACACCCCCGGCCAGCAGGGGCACTGCAGCCGTCTCCATAGCACTGACTGGGTCTCCTGCGGTGCTCACTTTTCCTCGAGTCCCCGAAGAACTTCCGGCAGCTGCGGAACTTAGGTGACGCCGGACGCGCCGCTTAGGGACGCGGGCGCGCAAGGCGGCAGGAGTTGTTTCCGGCAGTGTCGGTGTCCTAGCTTGCTTTGAGGCGGCGGCGGAGGAAGGAAGATGGAGACAATTCTGGAGCAGCAGCGGCGCTACCACGAGGAGAAGGAACGGCTCATGGACGTCATGGCTAAAGAGATGCTCACTAAGAAGTCCACGGTGAGTGGGGCCTGGGCAGGGGCTACCCCTGAGGCTGGGCCCCATGCCCGGGTTCAACCTCTGAGAGTTTTCTTCGGTCCTCAGACCTGCCCCGCGCCCGCCGCTTCCCGGGGCTCCCTACCCGAGCTCTGGCCTAGGTAACCTTCCCCCGGGCCCAGCGCCCAGAGGCCTCTCTGCTTGGGCCACTAAGACCTGAGCGGATAAGCTCCGCCCTTGGGCGGCCTTTCCAACTTCAGAACTCCGACTAACGGTGTTTTGTGTCACCGTTTGCCTTTCTTCAGCTCCGGGACCAGATCAATTCTGACCACCGCACACGGGCCATGCAAGATGTGAGTGCCCCGCTGTCCACTTCTCTTTGGGTCGCGATGGGCTGGAAGAAGGGGGCGGGGGGGTCACCTGGAGCCCTGGACAAAGGTAACCGGGTTGGCCAGTCGAGGGTTTGTATGCCTGCCAAAGGGTGCTTAAACACCCTTGCTCGCTTCTGTGAATGGGGAACTCTTATTCATTCTTAATTACTTGGAAAGATGCCCCTTAGAGCATTCTGTATCCCATGGATGTGCAATGAGTAGTTACCAGGAGTCAACCATTCGGGCTTAGAAGGTACTCTCCCTTCTCCCCAAAAGAGAATGCTGTGTATTACTGTTTTCCTCCCAGAACACTGTATTGAAGCATTTGAAGTACTTTTTGCCTACCACACTGCATTTTCCTAGTAATAGTTCAATTTCTTACTTTTAGAAAAGTAATTAAAGTCAAAATACTGATACGTTTTTATGTTAAAGCTAAGTGGTAGGTAAATGGAGGTTCGTTATACCATGCTCTCTACTCTTGCACGTTTGAAATCTGTTTAGAAAAGAATAAAAGACCTAATCACAGAGTTTCTAATTTTGGGGAGATAATTAACATTACAAGCCCCTAATCCCTTATCTAAATTCCCAAATCTGAAATACTCTGAAAACAAAAGGTTTTTTATTTGTTTGTTCTGGTAATTGTTTAGTGGCAAAAATCTGACTTGATCTGAACAGATGGGAGGCTTTTTATGGTCTTTATCACATTTAATAAGTAATGCGTAAGTTTCACTGCAGAACTATTAACATGTGTTCCAGATTCCACTAGGGATATTGCATGCAGTACCTTCCTGAACTTAAAAATTCCAAATTCTGAAACAAATCTGGTCCCAAAAGTTTTGGAGAAGGGACTACGTACTCATACCATCCTGAGTTCGAATCCAAAAGAAACTGTGTGATGTCTTATTTAGTCTGTGTACTTCTCAGTGAAGCCTTTTGAAGTAGTGAAAATCACCCTGGACCGCCCTTTTATCTTTGAGTGTCTTCGGTGGGAACTGCTGTTTACCAAAGGGTGACAACGGCTCTCTTTTATGACACTTCTAGGGAAAGTTAAATATAGGAATTTTCTGCCACCCCTCAAATCACATCACTTAATCTTCAAAATGACCTGTTTTAAAAAGTAACTAGGAACCAGTGCTGTCTGTTAAAGGTACCAGAAAGAACAGGAACTTTTAACACCATACCTCTTGCGGTTTCCCTGGGCTTTGACAAGAGAGCCTTTGTTGGTTGCTTGGGCCTAAGTTGTACAGATTGCTTCATCCTGATGGGTTTGTGTTTGCTTTTCAGAGGTATATGGAAGTCAGTGGGAACCTGAGGGATTTGTATGATGATAAGGATGGGTAAGTGACAGTCGCAGCCAATCCAGGAATTACTGCTTTTGAGGAGCCATGGTTAAAGGACTAAGTTTGTGTTCCGTGTTCTCTGTTTTTTTTTCTGAAATTGCAGGTTACGAAAGGAGGAGCTCAATGCCATTTCAGGACCCAATGAATTTGCTGAATTCTATAATAGACTCAAACAAATAAAGGAATTCCACCGGAAGCACCCAAATGAGGTATGACCTCAGAAAGTATTTTCAGAAAGTATTTTCTCCAAACCTGTCCAAAGAGCATACAAAGGAAAGGTGTAAGGAAAGTGGAGATTGCCACTCAGGTGTCCCTTCAAAAAAGAACTCGCCAGTTAGCTGCAAGCAGCGAAGTTAGGTG